CTGCAAGATACAAGATCAATGATTTTAAGTAGGCAACGTTTCAAAGCCAAGCCAAGTTGGGCCCACCATACCAAGCCCAAGCTTGTAAACCAACATACCTGTCCTCAATCTCCTTCAAACTTCAGCGCATGTTGCAGACCCGCATGCAGCTGCCGAGCCAGGCCCTCCTCCTTTTTCCGATGGCGATCGCGCACCTACATAAAGAGGACACCGCTACTTTCCATCCATGCAAAAACACTATTCATGCTGTAATCACCCAGATTTAAACTCACCAGCCCGTTGATGAAGTCCTGGCGTGCAGCTGGGGACATATACGCCGTGATGTACCAGTGTCTCCGATTGTCTGCCCAAAGGTGCTCGATTAGGTCCCCGAATGTGAGCCCCAGTCCAGGCATGTAGCGTGAGTTGCAGCGGACATTGCACTCAGGCTTGTGTGGTCGGATGTGCCATGGTCCGATGGCGAAGGGCAGACCAGCAGGCAAGTCCAGCTCCTCATAGATCCTGTGGAAAACAAGGCAACAGATATTCAGCTTCTTCGCAGGGGAAAAGCTTAACTCAAGTTAAAATCTGAAAGGGACTAAACTCCCAAACCCTGACCAACCCCAGGGATGGATATAAAATGGAGACCTCAGCCTGTCAACTCAGGTTAACTTGAGCATGTGCACATTGTGTCCCCAGAAAGCTTACCTCTTGTAGTAGCCCTCAAACTTGCACGCGACATCCAGGAACACTGCCTTGACAGATGCCAGATCCATCCTCTGCTTCAGAGCTTCCAGCAGCACCTCGTAGTACACAAAGTCCTCCTCTGTATGCAGGCTCACCATGGCCGGGACGAAGCCATGCCTACAAGCAAATGCTGCGACACCAAGGCGATCATAGTTTGCAGCACGCCGCCCGAAGACCTTTGCAGCTTTGAACTTAGAGCAAGAAACAGCATCTGGGTCCGCCATCTTTCCACGCTCCTTCAGGCGCTCCATCACCAACTTCTCCGAGATAAACAAATCACCAGCCGCGAGGGGTTGCAGGTCGAGGGAGCCACTGGCCGCAGCCTTAAAGTGCCGAAGGCCCAGGCATGCGTCGCCTGACACAGCAACACACTGCCGCCAGCAAGCAGGGCAGTCCATCCAGCGGCCACCACCAGCTGCTGCTACTGCACCAGCAGCAGCATCCGAGGTACTGGCTCCTCTGGTGGCATTGCTAGGCTCCAAGGCAAGGATGTCATCTACACCCAGGAGCTCACAGGTTCGCATCAGGCTCTGTACCCTGTCCCAATGGGCGGCCGCGGTTCCAACTGCATCTGCGATGCCTGCTGGGGTGGGAAGCCCATTAATCGCGTGTTGACGCTGGAGCATCTTGGAGTATGCTGAGGCTGAGCATGGACTCTCTGCACGCAGGAAGCAGACCTGCTGCATCAGCCCCCAGTCAAACCAGGCGACGGGCCGGTCTGGTGTGCTTGGAAAGCACCCAATCTCCAGAGGGTGAACTTGCCGAACAAACGGCAGCTGGGCTGGGCAGTGGCGGCACCTGAAGCATGGATATGGTGCTTCAATGCTCCCCTGCACTGCCACAAAGCGGACGGTCTCCCCGGAAGCTGTCTGGGTGGATGGTGCTGTGGGTGGACCCTCACGCTCTGCCCAGTCCGCTGTCAGGCACTGCAGACACAGCTCTGGAAGCCGGTCCCGTGCCCGCGCATCAAATTCAGCTTCCAGGTAGGCCTGTAGGCGGGCTGCTGAGCCTACGGCACCTCGGTCAAAGTAGGCAAAGCCGTAGAGGCCGAAGTTAAAGTATGACCGCTGCCAGTTGGCATGCCGTCGGGCGTTTGCCTCCTCAACAGTTCCCCTACGAGAACCCGCCTGGGGTTGTGGACGGGGTGGTTGCTGCTGCCGATGTTGGTTGACATCAGGCTCGTCGAACCGTCAAGAGATGGTAGCTGCCCGTTGTTGTCCTCAATGGTTGGAGCGGGCAGATCGGGATCAGCGTTTCCAGAAGACTTAGCTGCTGCGGCACGCGCTGCCGCATTGGCAGCGGTTGAGCGACTGAGTTCCTCATAATACTCCCTGCCGGGACGCTTCCGAGGCCGCTTGGGCGGTCGGGGCTTTACCCAATCATCAAGCGTATCTTTTTTTTTGCACAGGCCGGGCTACCCCCAGTGTATTGTCAGCACGGGTGCTATGAGAACGGGAGGTCCTTGGAAGGTTGAGTAGTTGCTCCGCGATAGAACGATAACGTCTGGACATCCCCCCTAAATTTTCTGCCTACAAGCGCATACTGTATGTACGCAAACAACGCATTTGTAATTATTACTATTATAATAATAGAAATCAAGTTAGGGTTGCTGGGGTACTATTGTTTTGCCGTGCGACAAGCCTGAAGATTCAAAAAGCGCGTGCACAGGAGAACCTTTTAAGAACAACCTATTCGTACTCCAATTGATTATTTGCTGCAATGGCGTGTTAGGTGCAACGCCATTTTCCACTCAGTGAGTGGACATTGGTGCCCACTACAGGAGTGGACGTACATTCGCAGGGTGAGCTGGCCTCCGGGTTCGTTTGGGCCGTACGAGCTCACTGAAGCTTGTAACATCCATCCATGCTTAACCTGACTCTGCTTGCGGATGCGGACGGAAACTGTATTCACAAATTTACGCTTTCGCAAATTTCCGATCCCGCTGTTTCCCTGCTTCAAAGTGAGCAATGGCGTACAATCCGTACGTCCGATAAAAGTAGTGTACAGTGGTCCCAATGGAAAATAAAATGAAGGAAATTCGTTAACTGTTCATGAAAACTTGAAAATTTCCTAACCGCTGGCCAATGGAAACACCCTCACTGACGCCAAATGAGGGGCAGCATATGTGCGCTGCCGTCACAGAGGCTGGCCTAGACTCCGCTGATTTAGATGAAGAGGACTTGAAAATACTGTGGAGAGCTAAATTCCGCACCGCTGCACGCCTGCGTGCAGCTAGACGGGAAGATCTCATTGATGCGGGTCTGGCGCCTGGCGTGGTGGTCAGCATTCTGCAGGCCTTAGGTGAATTCTAAGAGCGGTTTCTGTGCCACCAACCTGTAAGATATTGCGCAAGGAACCGTTAGGAGTGTCATTGGACGCATAGGGCGTTAGGGCCTCGTCAAGCCCTGCGAGAATTGTGCCACAATTGTGCTGCGGTGCTTAGGCATTGTGGTTGAGAGTAGACAGGACGCTGGTGGCGAGTTCCAAACCTAGGTTTTGCAGGTTGCCTTTGCAAACTTGCGCGTGAAGCTAGCTTGGGTGTTAAGAATGCTGCATGAAGATTGTTACTACATGCAAGGCGCGTCGCCTCTACCTGCACCCGCCACATATCGGGAATCCAGGATGCATGTGCTCATCCTTACATACCGACCTGCATTGGTTTTTCGCCGTTATGTTCCAATGAGCATTGTTGTGTTTGCGAAGAGTCTGGTGGCTTTGGTAGCTGCATGCCCTTCCGATTTTTTGCATGCTGAACGGCCAAATCCACGGCTTCTACCGCAGTGGTTCTGGACGAGAATGCCACGCGCTTCTTCGCTACACTGCATACCATGCACGGTCTTCTGAATCGTTGGTCATCTGTGTGTTCCTTTGCCAAAAGAGCACACCCCTGCTATGTCCTATGCAAATGACC